TTTAAAAGCGTGTCTATTCCCCAGCATGCATCAGGCCTTCCTCCTCCTCCTCCTCCTCCTCCTCCTCCCCTGGGCTCCTCTCTCGCACGCTCTCACTCCCATTCACGCTCTCCCTTTCGCTCGCTCTCTCGCACTCACTCTCTCGCTCTCGTACTAAATCAGGCGAGTGGGCATCGGCTCTCCTCCAGGAGGACAAACCTTTAAGTGCAGAACAAAATCAGCATGTTCCATCCAAGCCTCCATCATACATTATGCATGCGACAAAGTTTGGCAACAGTGGAGCTGATGTGATGACACAGCTAATCAATAAGAACCCACCGCATGAAACCTTTATAGTGGTTACTTTTTAAGGGCTCAAGTGAAGGAATTGTCTTTGTCAACTTTGGCTTAAAATATCCTTATATAGTTCTGGTACTTTCTCAGGGTCCACTGGTCTAGGTAAAAAATGTGTAAATTTTTGATGCCGTTTAGTCCTAGTCCCTTCTCTTGGAGTCCCATCTTTATTTAACGCAACGTAGTATCGTCTTCCAGTGTCCACATGTTTATATAGATTTGATGAATATGTGTTATACCAGTTTTCTTCAAACTGCTCTCTGAATACACACTCCTGGGTTAATTTTTCCTACGGAAAGAAAAGAAAAAGCAGTAAGGAGAGAGATAGCCACAAAAATAACCTCTTTTTTAAAAAAAATACTATTTCACAGCTTGAAATCAGTACCTCCTGGCTCAATTTGCAAAATGAAACATTTCAGTATTCCCAGTTTTAGCTAAGTTATTTTTTTTATTCCCAGTTTTTAAGCTGTATTGCTGGGTATTTCATAAAGCAGCCACAAGAGCAGACAACTCTACGTGAAGCAAAACTTATTTTCCAAAAGCTTCACTGTTCAAATCAAAATAGCAAAACAAAACTGAAAGCAATTATTTTAATTTCTGATCATTTCCAAGCATCTCACAAGCTGTTACTGGATTGTATAACTAATTGCTTCAATTTTGAGTGCAGGCATTTGAAAAAACAGAAATAAAGAAAACATCAACTATTCATCCGATTCCCCCTGCAACAGACTCACACTGCTTCCAGTTCACCCACTTATTCAGCCTGTGTGTACCCCTCTAGATCCTGGTCTAAATAGATGGAGTTTGATTAAAAAGCAGCCACCTGACAACTGGATTCATTTTAGGAAGGACTCACACAAGTGACTGAGCAAGAGGACTGGACAAAAGGTGGTGAGCTCTAGCATGGAAGAGTTGATGGAAAGCTGGGAAAAATAAGCCTGGAATTAGTCTTTTCAGCTGGCACAAAAAATATAATAATAATTTAATACTTTTTTTTGTAACAAGAGATCTCACTTGAATAGCACTCTCATCTACCAAACTCAGCTTCCAGCTGAGGATCAATTTCTAATTATTACAAAGCTCCACACAACACAGACTTCTGTGCACATGTTTTACAAATGTTAAATCTTAAAACAGCCCTTTTAAACAGAGAAGGGTAAATTGATATTAAGGCCCAGATGCAGCAAAGTATTTACAGCATCTAAGCTGTAAATGTGTGCCCAAACACAACTAAGGAGCCACATCTCAAGCTCCAGTGTCCTCCATCCATAGCTTAATCCAGGAGTTTCCCAAAAACCACCATTACCAAAGCTTACAGCTCGCCCTTGGGCTGCAGGTGCCTTTGGGGCCACCTCTGCTGCTCGGGACTCAGCTCACAACCCTTTCCCAAAGCCAAGCACCCTGCTCCCAGGGTAGAGCTCTGCCGCCTGCCAGAGTTGGGGACCAGGGTCCCAGCAAGGTCCAAGGACCCCTACGCACCTCATAGGTGTCTCCCAGGAGCTGTCCCTGGCTGCAAAGCCAGGGTCCTTTTCAGTGCCTAAAGGTTTGGGATTTGGAGGTTTCTGCTAAATTCAACCTGTGGCAACTTCAATAGGCAAGAAAGGCAGCAAGCAAGCAGCTTCTGACTCTATCTCTGATGGGTATTAGGAAGTTCTTCACACCTCAGGAAGGAAAAATGCACTACAGGACTGGGTCTGGGATGCCAAGCACCTAAGCATTCACTACAGCAGCAGCTGTGTCCCTGTGTGGACCCGGGTGGCTGTGGTGGAGGAGACAATGGTGGTCCCATGCCTTGCACCCTCACCTGCGGTTGGACCAGGAAACTTCCCTCACATGTGCAGGTTGACTGTGCACGTCAACTTATTTTAGAGGCCTTTCTGACTAGAGCCAGGCTCTTCTCAGTGACAGCCAATGACAGGACAAGGGGCAATGGGTGCAAGCTGGAGCATAGGAGGTTCATTCTGAACATAAGGAAAAACTTTTTTACTGTGAGGGTGACAGAGCACTGGAACAGGCTGCCCAGAGAGGTTGTGAAGTCTCCTCTGGAGGCACTCAAAACCCCTGGACATGTTCCTGTGTGACCTGGTCTGGGTGATCCTGCTCTGGCAGGTGGGTTGGACTGGATGATCTTTCAAGGTCCCTTCCAACTCCTAATATTCTGTGATTCTGTGATTATATAATTTTTAATATACAAAGTAGCTCAAACAACACTCCATATGGGTTATAGGGAAAAGAAGCACAAATCCTTAAAAAGCGTTAAATCCTTATCTATGGGCCACACCCTACAACCTCCTATTGGTAATTGCCTCTGTGCTCTTTGACAGCAAGAAACTGCAGCAGTAATGAATATTACTCAGCATCAGCTGAAAGTTAAGACACATTGCAGTAGCCCCCTTGCACAGCCTCAGCCTACAAACGATTATAAAAATTATTCGGCTACTATAAAGATTGTCTTTAAGTACAGCTTTCATTAGTGTTTTATTTTGCATGAGGTTTAAAAGAATTTTGTTGGCTTTAAGGCAGGAGCAGGTGCTACGGGGTATTATATGCTGTGCCTATAGGTCCACGGGGAAAGAGAAACTAATTCAAATTGTTTTCCTGCTCTCAGAAGGCAATACCATCACATGACAAGCACTGCAGAAGCACTCCCTGCTAAAAATAGCAACATTTTAGAGAGATATTTCAGTCCTGTCTTGAATTCATTAATTATTCACTTTATCTGCATTTTTTTAGCATCATGATAAATTCCTGTCTTTGCAGGAACAGTGCTTCCCCATGCCCTGAAGGAGAAATTTTAAAATAGCCTCTCTTTATCTGGCAGGTTTGATGGATCCTGGCAGTGCTGTGGTACACTTAACCAGCAGACCCTGAATAAGGGGGTTTGCATTGTGCTCTGCTCTGGATGAGTTCAATGAATCTCAGGCTTACAAATTCAATCCTTATTTTACAAGCTTATCCTGTTTTTTACTTTTCATACTGTTACAACACAGCTGCATCCCTTTTGTCCTTCATCAGAATTCTCAGAAATTCATGTATAGACAGTAAGCAAATACTTCAACATGAACCTGACAGAGCAAACAGGATGCAGGTTCAGATATGTAGGGACATTAACAATCACACTTTCAGAGAAGCAAAGTAATTTCTTTATAAATTCATAAAACCATTGCCTTCTAGGACACTTAGAAATTCTGGTTGTAGTCAGAGACCACTGGAGCGAATCGGTGTCAATGACTTTGGATCAAGCCCTGTAAACCATGTGAGGACCAAAACCCCAGCTTATCTTTCTTCCCACGCCCAAGACCCTTACGATAATGGCTCATCTATACCACGACAGACAGAACCAACATCTACTGAGATAGTCATCTATGTAGAATTATAGCATCACTTAGGTTGAAAAAGACCTTTAAGATCAAGTCCAACCGTTAACCTCACACTGCCAAGTTCACCACTGAACCATGTACTACCACAACACTACTTAACACCAGCTTACACTCATGTTTTGAGCACACATGCCTTTATCCAAGCCAAAAATGAGTGTAATACAGAGGTGAGGCTGGTCCATCCTGCCAACAAGCACCTTCTTGCGTCACCAGCTTAGGATGAGAAAGTCTTGCTGAAACCCAACTCTCTCACTATGGGAAGGAGACGTTTCCTGATCACAAACGGCTGTCATTTCCCCTTCCGGCTGTGACTTTTAGAAAGTCCCTGTATGCACAGTCAAAAAGCAAGATTTAGCCCTGGAATATGGCAATTTTTGCATAATTTTACTCTAAGCAACCAACTTCTCTATAATTTTTTCAGTGCAAGTATTTCCTTGCACCAGACTTCATGTCACTGGACATCTTTGTCAAAGCCTGACACAAATACCAAGCACACCCAACTGGAACAGCTGGGGAAAGTAACCTGCATTCCTGTGAAAGGGGAGGCTGCCTGCCTTGATAATATCATTTAATTCAGGGGCCAAACAAGGAGGTGACCTCAAAATTATATAAATCAGATGTTGGACCACATGCTGCATGTTTTCTATGAGATCTCTTCATAGAGTATTCCACTACAAAGTAATTGATTCTCATTTTACTACACTTCCACACTTTACCTGTTTGGGTTTTTTTAACCTGTTATTTAACTCAGAATGTTCAAATAATTGAATTGTGCAAAGATGCACTCATGACAAGGGCAGAAACCCAAGACAGGTTTAATTCAGAAGTCTGCTGATGCCTGGTCAGTGTTAGCAAGACCAGAATCCATTTCCTTTCATACATCATTTACCACTTAACCAGGGAGAAAAATACTTATATTATCCTATTTCCAGGTCAGTTGATTAAAAGTGAGATTGTAAATTAATAAAGTAGATAGATATAGCCATTACAACAAAAGATTTCCCAGCTTGTTTAAAAATAGATTTCCCTGTGAAGCAGCTAATTGGAAATACATGGAAATAGGAAAAACACATGTACACGACCCAGAGAATGGTTTCATGACTCTAAAGAAAGGTAAGGAATCTGTGTGGTTTAGTATTTGAAAGCACAGTACAGGGTCCTATATAAGACACATCAATATGCTTTTCTCTTTCAAATAACCTTATAGAGCTAAATTTCTAATTTATTTTGTAACCTAACAAGAGGTTACAAACCATCATTCCTAAAATCACATTTCACGTTTAGTAAACTATTCTATTCTATGCCACATGTAGTTTTCCCCTTTGCAAACTGCTACACTGATTCAATAGAGACACTTTGCAAGAAAACACCTAATCCAGAAGTCCAAACACCTATTAACATCAGTGTATCTGCTGTAGTCAGCAATTCCTACATACCTGCCACATGTTATCACTGCGAGAATCCACCTTGTCTTAATAAAATCAGGTTTAAATACATAGTCTCCTAAATATGTTCATGCCAATCACTCATGATGGCTATATATATTAATAAAAAATATTCAGTGAGGAGAAACAACAAAAAGAAGGCCTATTCTCTTCTGAAGGGGTTTTCTTTGCTGTTCTACCCACAAACACACACGCAGCTGGCCCGTCCCTTGCTGTAACGCAAACAGCCTCTAGAACATACCACATTCAGCTAATAATTAACACTCATCCAGGGTTGTCATGAGCAAAGGTGTAGTTTAGCATTTGCCCGCTCCTTTGTCTGATCTCCCATGCTAGGGTGGTTCATCTCAGGCTGAGAGGACAGTTCCCAGCCACAATGAGAAGCCAAATCCCAGTGTCCAAGCAGTGCCCCATCCCTTCCCAAGTCAGCAGAGAGCCCTGCACATTGAGCATCTGACTTGGTG